ACGACCACGGATGTAAGCCGCCAACCATCGGACCAGGCCAGTCAGGACGTTCAGAGAGACCAAGTCTTGCAGGAGCTGGTCGTGGCAGACACAATCGAAGGCTCGTGACAGGTCACTTGAGACTACTACGGTTCGCGAAGCGGGCTTCTGTTAATTGAAGCCCTCGAGGATGGCGTCGCTGAACTCGAAAGGCACCGTTTTAGTCCCACGACCCGATCGGAAGCCATGTTGATGACAAGACAGTTCCGTTGCGATTAAGTCAACTGGTGAAGCGTCGGCTAGGCATCATCACTTAGGACATTCATTTTTTCTACTTTTGTTCAGTGATCTGAGTGTTCCGCCTTCTGTGTTGTTTTGACACCAGTTTTGAGGTTATCTGAAGAAAACAATTTCCTGCTGTTTGCGCTGAAGTCAACTGTTTGGGCATCGGCTAGGCATAATCGTTTAGACTGTTCACTTGTTCTACTGTCAACTCTTTCGAAGATGAACCGTGGAAGGCACTGACACAGTATTGATCCTAGTTTTTTCTCCGTTAATTTTGTCCTACTCCCATGGTGTCAATCGCATGGTATACAATTATTCGTCTAGTACTTCGACTGGATTGTGCACGTGCAATATGTGACCTAACATGCAATATGCCTAAACTCACGAAAAATCATTAACCAATCTCCAGCCGCTTCGAATGTATCCACTAAAACGCCAAACTAATAATAAGCGATATCCAAGTAAGTGGAAATGCCAACTAACTTATAGGTACTATGTCACTGAAATAAATAAAAAATTTTCTTAAGGATAGCGAAAATATCAGAACTGTTTAAATTCATGTTACGCAAATAGACTCAAACGTATCAGGCACACAACCTTGCCTATGCAAATTATTGACTAAACAAGACGATATAGGCTCAGTTATACTCGGAAATTATTTTGTTACACATATTTCCTTTAAATATCCTTTTAGAATTAAGTTATATGAAGTCTGGCTCAAATGTAAGTGTGTTGTCTGTGGTCGTGTGTCGCAAATGTTTACTGTGGGAACTCAATAAACGTTCGTCCGATTTTGTATTATCCGGGATGCCGTTGGCTGAAGCAAACACGGTTTTGCTGAAGAAGACGTCGTTCCCATAAGGTCACATGTTGACAAGCCGATTAGTGAATATAATTGGTAGATGCACTCATAAACATATAAAGATGAACCTTATTTCGTTCAATTTATGTGTGCTTTTTGCTAACAGCGGAGTTATTTGATCTACAGAGTCTGTAATTCTAGTGCATAGTTTTCGGTTTTCGGTTCTTTCAATCGCTTACCTGTAGATGGCTTCTGCGCTATGTCTTTGTCAAAACCTTCAAAATAGGGCATATGTACACATTTGACGACTCACCTAAGCATAAAACCTCATTGCTAAAAAACTAAACTTTCGCATCAAAAGTCAGCGATGACTGCGCTTTCGATCAGTTAAAACTGTTTCTAATTAGTGCATTCTATCTACGAATCGCATACCTGCTTCATCATTTTACACGGTAAAGCTAAGAAAAAAATTGGTACATTTACCCGGTCATAATTAGACCATGTTGTAAAAACATCCCGAATTTTTCCTTTCCTTCGAAATTAGTCAGTCGGAGAAGATCAGTAGACTAAAGGGTCTACACGTCAATAATTGCGTAAATAAAAACATTTGGTAACCCGTCTTGTTAGAGGCATTCGGGAGGGGTATGAGTCTAGGCACATAGGAACCTGAGCTGAGTTGTCCAACGACGTGGACATTGCGTCCGAATGTATTTTGAAAAGTACAAACACACAAGGCCAATGTAATTGTACATAAAAACGGCGATTTATGGTTAAAAAGTTTATAATTCCAGTGTTTCCAATTTTCACCGTTGTTCGCTGTGCGCACTAAATACTAGCACAAAATTCAGTTAAAATAAGCTGCTGGTCGAACATCTTCCAAACACGCAACGGACGAAGCGATTGTGTGTACGAACAAATTCAATAGCACTAAAAGGTAATTTTGATGCATAGCTTGTACGGAAAGCTAACACCTGGTTAAGAAACACCGGCATAGCCTCCCGTCATTATTTCTTCCGTCTCAATTGGTTCTTTGCCACCAGTCAACCAATCAGAACGCAGGACGTCTGCATTCAGCGCTGCCCTAATGACGTCACCTTGACGTCGGCCTTTCTGTGCATTCATTGGTTCAATGGGATTTCTTCGCCTGCTGTTTTTTTGACATTTTTTTCCGCCTAATCTTCGTGTTCCTGCCTCTTCCCTCATAGTCTACTTACGTTGCTCGCCCGAAGTTTGTGCCGAACGTATTCGAAAGCGAGATCGTAGTGGCGAAGAAGCTATCTCAATGGTCAGTTGCCCTCCCCTAAAAGTTTCTTTTACGAGCATAAAACCCCTTAGAGGAGATAGAATCGTTGACTTAAAATTATTTTTCTTTTTTGCAGGAATATCTGCAACAGTTGCACGATCTTCATGAGAAGTTGTTGCTAAACGGCATAACTGAAAGCTGCCCAGCTCCAGTTTTGGTAAGTTTACGCATAACTCTGGCGGTTTATTGTTATTTTACTGTCATTTAATTGCCCTAGCGACATCCTGGAAAGGTCACGTGCACAAGATTGACTTCCTGTTTGAGCTCATAAGAAGTACTTTTTGGCCAGGGTCTCCGAGATGTCCACACTTGAGTAGCTATTTGAATAGCAGCTCACCAAACGTCCATGTTTCTGACAGTTTTGCTTGGTTACTTAATTGCCCGCCTACCCCACAACCTTTAGAAGGTAACGCTCACAGTATCTGGTTATCTCAGACTTCTTGAGGCAGCCCATTTCTTCCTAGTTGAGAAGTCATTTGAGCGGCTACTCCTCAAACCCGGTTTGTGCATGAACGCTTGTTTAACAATTGTTCGCGCAGATAACAACTGCAGTGCCCTTCACCTCGAGAATGTTCTCTTCCTCCTCCTGCTTTCCCAGTGAATTGTGGGGTTTTTATCGCACTCGTGTCTCTCAGCTTGAATTCAAAACTTGACATTAAGATAATTAATAGAGGGTTTGGCAACTTTGAATAATTGGGTTGGCCCAGTTATGAAAAATCCGGCGACCTCTCTGGGATTTAAAGACCACTTGAGCTATTGAAAAAAGGAGCACGCTAGATTCTGTTTGCAGATTCACTACAGTAGTATTAGCGACAATGATATGAGAGACCCTGAAATGCGTACCTCAGTCTAGTGGCTGAGTGGATAAGGCCCTATCTTACATGACGCAGGGCCCTACGTGTTAATGCTTCTAACAATGTGGGTCTGCGTTCCAATGGTATGTCTCCCCAGCTTGGAGTTAACCTGTCGACGATGTAAACTATCGCTTAAAAGTCTGTTTGATGGTACTTCTTGATAATTGATTGTAGGGACTAATTCTGTATAAGGAGAAGATATCGACGAAGGCAAGGTAAACTGGTCTGACCAATCCGGCCATATTACTCGTCGTTCGTGATCAGTTATATAAAACTCCAGGCTTCGATATTCTGCTTGTCAAATCCCGACTATTTTAAAGTCGACCAGCCTTCTAACAGCGGGTCAAACACCCGTTATAAGTCCAACACCCTAACCAACAAGCTGATCAATCGCGTTACCGGATGTACTCGTCTCGATTTTGAAAAAAACCTGGGGTTGTTTATGATGCTTAATAAGTCAAGAATAGTAATTCCAGCTTCCCTTTTCTTTCTCAGTAATGTTGTTCCGTCAATTACACCAGCCGCTGTGCGACTGTTGTCGGCACTCGATAGTAAATACCAAGGCACAATCGAGACGGAAACAATCGGTTAGCGTCCCTCATTCTCATCGCAATAACGAGAGCGCGTAATCAGTGCCCTAAAGATTTGAAATTTGTTTAAACTTGCGGCCGGTAATCTCCGATCAAAATTGCAATCCTTTTGTCTGGCAGACTTTTAATGTCGGCTTCACTGAACCCATGTTCCTATTCGCTTTTGCTATTTTTCTTGTAGATTTTTGATTGTGACAAACCGTTGGAGACCCTGACCAGCGTTTACTATGAGCGTCGGGAACAGGTCATGTGCGGTGTGAAGGCTTAATTCCAACTCCCCTTCTGTACTACGCTAAATTTGTGTTTTGGAGGATGATTGTTAGTTTTGTACCTTCCACTTTTATACCGGTCTTCCGAAAGCGTATCATACGCACGAACCTCGTGTCTTCCCTGCGCTGTGTTCTATCGCCCAATTGCTCAATTCCGAAAGCTCATATCCTTGTAATACTTTTTGTATAAGATTTTTATAATAACTGTTGGATGCTTAATTGGACTGCTTTAACTTCACAACCGTTTGTCGAAAGTGTTATCGTATTACCCGCATTTCACGGGGTTTTTTATTCGTCAATAGTGAATATCTTGTCGGGAAAACTTCATGAAAAGGGGTCACTGCATAAGCGTGACATGCGGTACCTTGCCTAACGTGAGCGGGGTGAACTAAATTTTAGTTTTATGAAACGTCTCTCGTGCACACAGGGATTCACTTCTTTCCCAAGCTTTATTTGGTGCGTCTGAGTCTTCG